TGGAAGCAAAAATTGAATCATGATTATGATCTTTAAAATAAAAATAAAAAAATTGTGCAGACATAAAAAAATATCTTGGGTCCGCCACTGGGTGCAGTCATATAAAACTACATCATTTTATAGTGTGAAAGCATTAAATTTGAGAAATCATAACTATACAAAGGTAGAAATAAATATAAAATATTAATTATGAGAAATCATAACCACACAAAGGTGAAAATAAATATAATGTTTCATTTTTCTACAATTAATTTTGAAAGCGAACTTCTTTTTTCTCACCCAAAACGACCTAGTTTTTAGGTGACTGCACCAATGCTTACATGCAGTCACATTACAAATCATTTTGCCATATATATATATATATATATATATATATATATATATATATATATATATATATAGTTAAGATAATAAACTCTAAGTTAATATATCAAGATTAATTTAAATTACTTATTTTTATATGTTAATAAAATTCAAATACTAAACACATACATTGCATAGCTAATTATGCTAGTGTTTCTACAAATGAACATTCAAAATAATTTTTATTATTAATTAATAAAAAGAACATTTCAGCTTTTTCTGTCAAATTTTTTTATGTTTTACTCATATAAAAGTTTACTCATATAAAAGTGAGTGAATCACATTATAATACGAAGAGAGAAAAAATGGAATATAATGAGACTTATTCATTTTTTCATGAATATAGCAAAAAAAATTATGCGTCAAAAATAGAAATACTCTTCTTTTTAAAAAAATATTAAATTATATGCATAAGAAATAAATTAAGGGTTTGATATTTCTTATGTTGTAAGAGATATTTTTATCTTTTACACATATATAAAAGTATGTGGAGCCATATGAAAAGAAGAGAGAAAAAAAACATAAGTCTCACATATTTTTATTTGTATGTAGGAGATTATCTTCTATAACACGAGAGACATTAAACCCTAAAACTAAAGATGTTTTCTATTTATTGTCTTTAATTTCCCATATTTATTCTTTATTTAACTCGTGTTGTCTTCACTTTTACTATCATTCTTTTACAATACAGAACTCACAAATTGATCTAAAGAAAAAAAAAAAAAGTAATTTTATTGAAAGGAAAAGAGTATGATACAGATTTCTCAAAAGAACATCAATTGAACTTGATTCAGTACCAAACAAATGAAAAAACAAAAAAGGGAAAGTGTACAATCCTATTTTCCAGAACACTCTACAAACTAGAGTTACACGAATTAGAACCAGTAAACTAACTAATACAAGGTTAAAAGCTAATTATGGTTAAATGAAATAACATATTACTTATTACTTCCCTTGAAAATAATAAATATCCAACACTACCATCCCTTTAAATACATAATTTTTAAATAGTTTTTTCTTTCCCTACATTGTTCCTTCCTTACACATTTTTTTTCACCAACTCTAATTTCCTCTCCCCTACACCTCGCTTCTCACACCTCATCTCATTTAAATCTCATGCAAGCTCTCCTTTTCAATTTCTGAGTTACTGCATCATCTGTGAGATTTTTCTTCAAGAATCACCATCATTTCCTCCTATTAAAAACTAAACCACTCATAACTCCATTTCCCTAAGCTTCGTGGCTTGGGAGATTTAAAAAAGAAAAGGAAATTTGAAGAAAAAAACAGAGATAATAAGTGAAGCATCACACTTCAAGAGCAGTGGTTTTCTGGAGCTAATTCAATTAATCACCTATTCTGTGTTATCATCTCAAGACATTAAATCTTAGCAGAATACCGCTCAACAAATAAGTCACCAGCAAGCAGCAATGTATGATAGATTACTATTTGTAGCAAATATTCCATAACAAAGCATATAGAAGAAATAATTTCAAGTAAGATCTCCAAAAAGATAACTTCAATAACACAAAATTGCAAAATCCATTCTCAACAAGCTAATAAAAACTGTGTCCAAATACTCGCCACTAAAAAGCAATCCATGCAGAAGAGAAGCTTAATTCAAATTTAAAAAAAAAAACAAAAAAAAAAATGCCTGTTTTGACCACTACTCTTCAAATATGGTCCCCTTCTCGCTGACATAAATACCATGAAGGAATTTTCGGATATCCTTATTTTTGACATGGCATTTCTGTTGCAAAAAAAAAAAAAAATAGTAATAAAAAAAAACAATCAAAATAAAAACCGAATAAGATTTGAGCATAGGCATGTGTATAAAGAAAGAGAAAGAGTATTTATACCTGGTTAATGAGAGCACAGGCCCGAGAAACTAATTCAATATCATTACCATCCAAAACCAACTCATCCTTAACCTTTTCAGATCGAAAAACGGAAACGTCTTCAGGCATGTCCACTTTCCTCACCTAAAGGATATACAGTTGCCAAACACATAAATTAAATTAATCATAAAGAAACTATATTATTACAATTTAACACAGTATTATACCGGAACATTCATCATATTGCCACTCATTTAATAAAAGTTTACCTGATTGCCACTTCTGAAAAAAAAAATTGCCAAAATGCCACGCCTGAATCACGCTGGTCTGACAAGCGGCGGGAATGAACTGAACACGTGTCAGCGTCTGAATGGTCAACCATTCTCGCTGGGCTGCCCAGGGCTGTAGGTCGGGCTTGACAAAATTGGTACTTTGCGTCTTTGCCACATAAAATAAATATTATTTTATTATTTTATTTTAATAAATTAAATAGGCCAGCCTACAAGGCTGTAAGCCGGGCTTGACAAAATTGGCCTATGGCCTATTTGTTAATTTTTTTTTTTTTATAAGTCTAAGCTTTCTTTACTTTTCCGAAAGATCAGGCCCTGACCGGACTCAATCTAGGTCGGGCCGTAGCTGGGCTGGGCCAACCTGACTCATTTACACCTAGTAGTCATGCCGGTTGCCAATATAAATTTAAAGGCTAAACCCGAAGGGCGAAGGGTAGTAAAGAAAATATCATTATGGCAATGCAACCCTTAATTCGTCCTTGTAGAATCATCACAAAGTTGTAACATTAACTAAAAACATGTTTTCGCAAATGTAAAACTCAGGTGACTAAAAGTTTACAATGTATTGGGTTATTAAAGTTGGGAATGATAAAAAATTATTTCAAAAAAATGTATTGTTAAGATAATAAATTCTAAGCTAATATATAAAAGGAAATAGTAAACACATGCATTGACATTTGCACCGTTAATTAATTATGCTAGTTTTTCTGCAAATGAACATTCAAATTAAAATTTTATTTTTTTATAAACTTTTTTTATAAAAATAAATAAATCAAATTATATGCAAATTATGAAACTAAAGATGTTTTCTATTTACTGCCTTTAATTTTCTCATATTTATTCTTGACTTAACACATTTTGTCTTAACTTTAATTTACTATCATTCTTCTCTCTCTTCTCTCTCTCTCTTCTCTCTCTCTCTCTCTCTTCCCTTTTTGTCATCTTTTAATTTTTAACAATTTTATTCTATTTATTTATGCTCAATATGTGTGTTTTTTTTTTTAATAATTACTAGCATGTATATGAAAAAGTAGCTATATAAGGATACTCGAACCAAAACTATCCACAGCAAAAAAACGTGGCCTGGTTATAAGGAGTGAGTTTATCATTCAAATTCTACCTTCCTATAATTTTTTTTTATAAAATTCTTCTTATTATCTGTTAAACTTTTAACGTAGTGTAACAAAATTAAAAGAGCAACGTAGCTCTTGCTTGATAATGATATTTGCCTTCCATATTGAAGATTTGAAGCCAGTTTTCATCTTATTTCTTAACTTTGGTGGTTTTCTCAACTCTAAGTACGACGTTTAATTCCTTTTATAGAGTATTAACTAGTAGTTAGAACTCGAACACGTTAGCACTGGAAAAGAGTGAAGTTGGTTCTTGAGCTTGTTTGCAAGCACTCCATTTTATTTTATTTTATTTTTGGATAAACCACTTATATCTTTTATGAAAGTCAATTCTGTTCGGGATGAATTTAGGATTAAAGCTTTAAATTCCTCGTAAAATGGAAGGTATGACTCATACTTCGCATGCTGATGAAGACCCTAATTATCGGGGTCAGCAGAAAGACAACTTGAGTTCCGCTCCCAGGTGAGCGGGCGGGGATCCGGGGGAGCCGCCCCGGCGGGGTTCCGGGGGCAGCGCCCCCAGACCCGTAGATGCTAGGTACTGTTGTGAGCCTCTGTTTTATTGTAATTTTCTTAGCAGTTTGGGCTTGGGCCCATGAATAGCTGTTGTTAGGGTTTTGTAATCCTATTTATATTTGCCTTGTAAACCGAAAGACTTGTAACGAGTGGCGGTGAGGTGAATATAGTACAGACAAGCTGGACGTGGTCTATATTGGGTGAACTAGAGTAAATCGCTGTGTCTAATCTCTCTACTCTTATCTCTTTTTCTGTTTTCTCGATTCTGTGTGATTGTCGATTTCTAATATTTCGAAAATCACACAAAATCGAGAAAACAGTAAAGATAGTAATCGAACACATGTCCTACTTGCTCAGCTCTCAAACGTTAATTGAGCAAAAATCATTTGGTGCAACCAGCTCGTTAATAATCCAATAGGTTAAAAGTTTTGGCTAATTTATAAAGCAGCCTAACTTAACTAACTAGTATAAGAATAATGCACTTAACAAGTGAAATGTCACACCATTACACAGGTAGGCGAGTAACATTTATGGAAAGTGAAACTGGTCTAGGGTGGCTGACAGAGAGTTTTCTAACCAAAATAGTTTGCTCAAATCATATGTATGGCATCTCTTATCATTCTCTGCCTTTCAGAATTTCCAAAGCTTTTTTTTATTTAGAGTCGTTCTTTCTTTTTGTTACTTACTAGTGATACAAGATTCTCTTCAATTCACCTTTTTCTTTTCTCATGTTTGTAATCAATCAGTAGTACAATCTTCAATTCGTGATTGCTGAATCAAACCCAGAGAAAAAAGCCTTTTCTTTCCTCCTGACATTTTGGTTGATGATTCTTCTTTTCCTAAGAGAAGGACAATAGGAAGAGAAAATGGGAATTGTGAAGGAATTGTTCAGTTGGTCGCAGGCTGTGATGAGCATGTTATTAGTGCAAATTTTTGCAACTGGGATGCAGATTCTATCAAGGATCATACTAGTTGAAGGCACTTTCATTTTTGCACTAATTGCCTATCGTCATGTTGTTGCTGCTGTTTGTGTTGCCCCTTTTGCTTTCTATTTTGAAAGGCAAGCTTTTCTTCACTCTTAGTTTCATTTAGAATCTAGCTTATTGTTCTGCATGTTTAAGCTTTCTTCCTCATTGTTTGTTCTCTATTTTTGTTTGGATTGAATGATATGGGTTGTCGTTGCAGAGGCATCACGAAGAAGTTGGGGTGGTCGATTTGGTTTTGGCTCTTCCTTAATGCCTTAGTGGGGTACGTACGCATTGTTTTCTTCATCTTTGAGCTTATTTTCTTAACTCAGTAAACATGAATAATTATTCACAAGGAGCATTTTTGCTCAGATTTGAGATTAAGTTGGTGTCTACTAGGGGTGTTCATCGACCGATCTAAACTGATTCAAACCGCGGTGACCGAACTGAAAAATCGATAACTGAATAAACCGAAAACCGATTAAAAACCGCAAATTTTAATTGGATTGGATCGGTTTTTTGATGGGTTGATGAAAACCGATCCAATCCAAACTAAATTAACCCATCAACTAAACCCAAGAAAAAATCTAATCACATCTCATCAACAAAATTTTATCTTTGTAGAGCTTCATATCTCATTGTAAAAAAAAAAAAACTATATTATAGTTTACTAATGCTTTTGTATTTCAAAAAAATTTTTTACAAAGCCAATATATACAAAAGATGTTATTATGAAATAAATTTTAGGATTTTCAAAAAACCGAAAATCGATCCAATCCAAACCGAAAAAAATTGGATTGGATCGGATGAGATTTAAAAAAAAATCAAAACCGAATGGATGATTATATGGTCAAATCGAAGGGATTGGATCGGATGATTTTTACTTCCAAAACCGATCCAATCCAGACCGCGAACACCCTTAGTGTCTATATGCTGCAGAGTATTGAATTTTGAATGGATCTCCATAAACTTCATTTTATTTTAATTTTTAATTTTTTTTATATCAATCCTAATTATTTTTTTGAAGCAAGACGGCTCTGTGGATATCTCCACAAACTTTAATTCTTTGAGCTGATTATAAGACTAATTCTAAGTTGAATTTAGTCACAGATAAAACTCATTATCTCTTTCGCAAAATATATTTAATGAAAATCGAACTTAGTTCTCTACCCACTTACTTAACCTATTTTGCCAATTCAACTCCACCCGTCGAGTTATAAACTTCATTTAAAATTGTGAAGATCACCTATATTAAATGGCTATGAATTTGATGCGTAATAGAAAGACTTAGTAAGATAATGATATTTCTTCAAACTTGAAGTGTTCGTAGCAAGCAACTCAGCCGGACCTGAAAGTTTACGATAAAAGATGGCTCTTTTTTTTTTTTTTTTGATAACAAAAAAGATGACTCTTTGCTTATTCACAACTTATAAAGTTATTTAGTGCAATCATTTATCACTTTCACCTTTTAGAGAATTATTTGTCCTCTAAAAGTACGGATAAATGACCTTTTTGCTGTATTTTTTTTCAAAAAATTCAAATAACATCTTGAAATATAATATTAATCTAATGTAATAAGTCTCGCACTTCACCTATAAATGACTCAAGACTGAAAGTTTATTTTAAGTGAAAATCAGTTAAAGGTTTAAATGTGGCTAATTTTGTAAGAATAGTTCCGCACGCCTCCCATGTGAGATGGTTAAGAAAGTAGCCACAGCTAAATTTTTTTCAAATATATATAGAGCAATACGTGACAATTCCTCATGGGAGCATAGGAGATTAATCCCACGACTTATTGCATTAAATTAAAGGGAATATTCTCATATTACATGAGAGTAATTCTATCATGTCATAAAGAGAATCCAAGTGGAGTCCACCATTAAAAAAAAAAGGATTGTGATTTTTGAAATGAGAGAACATGAGATAATTATCTCATGTAAAATGAGAGTGATATTTTTCTTAAATTAATACTATGTTTGAAGATTGCATTATTTTAAAAAATAATTTAAAAAAATCCTTGAAAAATGTTGTTTAGCCCTCAATGTACTTTTTCATATTGGAAGTTTTGTTCTAAGCAGTTCCAGCTCTAAATACAAACAAAACATTGTGAGAAACAACGGCAACCCCCAAATAAATTGACAAATCTGACATGACAAACCAGATTTATATTAGGGGCGTTTGGTTGAATTTTTTTATTTGATTCCCCATTTATCTTGAAGTGTCATTCTATGATTGCTTTGTTTGGTAGAAAGATTAAAAAAAAATAGCTATCTTCTCTTTTTTCCATCCTTCACAAGTATGTGCAAAATCAAAAGCAAATCATGGTAGAACTTTACCATTTAGGATGTGGTATTCCTAGAAAACTAGCTAAAATACAAAAAAGTGAATGAAAAGTGTTACCATATTACCCTTTTCTAAGTACACATGTCTACATCTCTAAAATATCAAGGGTTATTTTTGGTATTTCAACACATTTTCCCATCGTTATTTCACCTTCAACCAAACAAAGACTCACAAAATTTAACCCAATTTTCCTGGTAAAATTTTGACCAACCAAACAATTTTTTTTTAACTTTACTACCAAACTCACTTTCCTACCATATTACTAGTAATTGCATTTTCCTAGTAAAAAAAAATATCTCCTCTACCAAACGCTCCCTTAGTGAGATTAATGTTTCTCGTTATATGTAGTGGTTCCTTTTTGTTTTCTCTCTCTTCTCTCTCCTCTTTTTAACCGGCTCACGTGATTCTGGAGCAAAAAAGAAACACTCTTGTGGAGATAAAATTTATTTCCTATATACACATAAAAGTGTATGAAGTTCATATTTTCTTTTTCTTCCTCTCCTCACATGACCTCGATAAGTCCTGTATATTTTTATGTGTGTAGAAAATAAAATTATCTCATACTATCTAAGAAATATTAACCCCTATATTAATATAGTGATCATGAGATTGATTATTGCGGTCCGGACCCGCGCCATGGTGATTATGAATTTGTGGTCTGATACAATTGGTTTGGCTGTGCTAAGAGGAGAAAGTTGGCGGACACTTTCATTTTGGTAATGATGAAAGCTTAAGATTATGAAAGAAATATGCAACTAAGTTGCTTCTAGTAGTGACTTGTCGTGTGATAGCAGCTTTCAGTTTCTTTAATAATTATGTGATTCGGTATTTTACAGGTAAATTGATGGAACCCTACTTAGACTAGTGTCAGAAGTTCTGCTTTCTGCTCTTTTAGTAAATATATTCCTTTTTGGTTGATGACAATCAATTTCAGAATTATTACTCCATTTTCTTTCAGAGTTAGGCCAAATAAAATAGAGAAAAAAATGAATCAGGTTGGCCATAGCATGATTTAAGTAAATAAATGTACCTTTTTATATATATAGTACTTGTGAGGTTATTTTGGTCGCGAACCAAAAATGCTTTTATGGACGAGAATTGATTTTGGAGTGTTTTCCTGATGCAAAACAAAGACTAAAAGGTTATGTTAATTTTATCCTCTAAAATACATTGAAATTAATTAATTTTGTAATAATACGAGGTTCTATTAATTTGTCTTCCACAAAAAAAGATAGCATCAATTCAATATTTTAATAATAAAGTGATATCAATTTAGTCTACTAATCATATAAAGTAATATTAATGTAGTTCCTAGATTAAATACTTCAATAAGATAATTCTTGTATTTCATATAAAAAATGGGTAATCATGATGTCATTTTTAATAATTGAAAAATTAAATTGATTGTAAATTTAAAAAAAAAAAAATTAAATCACTTATAATTTTTATAACAAAAATTGGTGTTTCCTCAAGAATAAATTGACTTTTTTTTAGTAGAAAAATTAACTTATTTCCCCCTACACTAAAACTGCTTTTAATTACACGAGTGATTTCTATGAAAACTTCACAGCAAGACCAGTCAAACTAATAATTTCATGGTCTTATTGTCACCCTCACACTCTTATTGTTGCTATTACAGATGTTTATAATTAGTACGTAGAAATAATATATGATGATTTAAAATCATAGATGGCTATACCCTGTATGTGTGAATTATGTGCAGTTTAAACTAAAGTGTTCTGTATGAATATTATTCAATTTCGGATGCTTCCATACTTCATCCATTTTAAGGAAAACACACTCATTTCGTTTTAACTTTTTTTTAATTTGATTTCATATAACTGTTCTAAGTTCTATAGAGGGGATAACAATTGGCGGCTAGTAATTTTCTAACTATGTGATTGCACTAATCGCAGAATAACACTGGCTATGGGACTGTTCTATTATGGTCTGCGAGACACCTCAGCTACTTACTCTGTCAACTTTCTCAACTTGGTTCCAATTTTCACCTTCACTATCTCTGTTATATGCAGGTATTTAGAAAGACCAGTGTATATAAACATAACTACAAACATAGCATCATTAAATAACCAGCATTATATTAGCTCCTGAATTATGGCAGAATGGAGAGGCTGTGTCTGCAAAGATGGTCGAGTAAAGTGAAGACTGTGGGGGCAATTTTGTGTGTTGGTGGAGCATTAACAACTAGTATATACAAGGGAAAGGAATTCCATGTTGTTCAAAGTAATCATCACACTCACAGTACTATTGAGGCATCCAAAACCAACATGCTTCGTGGCACTCTCTTTTTGGTTGGTAGCTGCTTGTCATACACAGCTTGGTTCATTGTGCAAGTATGCCTCCCAGTCATTCCTCTTACACTTGCTGTTAGTTGTCTAAATTTCTTGTGTTTAGTGATCATTTTCATTAATGTGATTATTGTTTTCCATAAATAGCTATTTTTCAATCTAAACAGGTTAAGTTGCTTAAAGTATTTCCATTGAAGTATTGGGGAACAATGCTTACCTGCATTATAGCATCAATTCAAGCAACCATAGTAGGGATATGCTTAGATTGCAGAAAAGTTACTTGGAGTTTGAAGTGGAATCTACAACTTATCACAATAATATATTCGGTAAGATTTATTCAACGCAGAACTTCAAATTGCAGCTACTGTATAGACTATATAGAATGAATAAAGACTATTGAGGTAATTAACTACAAATATTAAATTGGATTACTGTCTGATTTCTTGAATGAGTAAATCCTGATTAAGTCTTTGAATTTTGGAAGAATTAGATGTGGACTTTGAATTTTAAAATTATTTGATGGGGAAACAAGGAGAGAGAGTTTTGTGTAACTCTTTGGAGTTGATCAGAGGTACTTGATGTTTCTACAAAAATATACATTTGCATTAAGGCTATATTGTTTGACTACAAACACAACTTGAAGGTCACACTGAAACCTGTGTAAAAGTTTTTTTAAGGTCTCACTAAACTTCTGATGCTTTTTAACAGGCACTACTACCTAAATGATAGGTGGTGTTGAGGTCACTTATATTGGCTTTGACTAGTTATGAAAGTAAATGGAAGAACCTTTAGTTATGACAAAGGAGAAAAAGGGAGAATGCCTCAAAGATATCAACTTCTATGATTATTAACAAATAGGATTTCTTTGTACAGGGAGCACTGGCTACAGCTGCTACGTTTTGCTTAATATATAGAGTAATTGCAATCAAAGGACCTACTTATCCCGCAATGTTCAATCCACTGGCTCTTATTTTTGTGGCCATATCAGAAGCTATCTTACTGGGTGAACCAATCAGACTTGGCATGTATGAATATTTTTCCTTCTTAATCAACCTAATGCCATTTACTGTTTTCCTTCAATTCTTAATCAACTTGCTCCATTCCACTGGTTGGGGAAACACCTTTAAAGCTACATCAGATTGGCTTTTCTTAACCATCCCTTTGATAATCTAGCCTTGGTATTTGCTCATTATGTTTATACATGTAAAAACCTGTTGCAGTTTGCTAGGCATGGTCTTGATCCTAATTGGATTGTACTCCTTTTTGTGGGGTAAAAGGAAGGAGACACAATGCTTGCCTCAACCAAATATAGAAGCCGGACAAGTATCAACAAGCATGGTTGTTGCTGAGTCTGCTGGAGTGCACGCAACAGCATTAGTAGTACCAAGTTCTTCACCTAATGTTGAAAAGACTGACAGAAATTGATGGGAAAAAAAAAATTACTGCAAACTTTTAAGCACTCTCTTGCGGGCAAAAATAAGAGGGGCTTAGAAATATTGATTTGGTGGCTTAATTATCAAAATATATGAAAGTTACCAACCGTCACGATGGTTTTTATTTTATTTTTTCCTGATTAATATAATCCCCAAATGTGAAGGACTATCCTATGTAATAACAATTTGGTTACCCCTTCATCGTAATGGGGACAATAATGATTATGATAATTTTAGACTCATATGGTTGAGAATTTCTTCAGTGCTATCGTTACACTGAATTTTCAGTGTTATTTACATTCTCAATATTACACGTGTCTTATTTTTTTGTCAAATCACTCTCTTATTTTATATTAAAATAAATTATTTTTTAATAATTTGATAAAAATAAAACACATATTATAAGTATAAGTAGCACTGAAGAAATTCTCCATATGGCTCGACCAAGTTACAAGCTAAACCGCATCGATCTTAGCTAAATTGGGTTGGGCTAAGTTGAATAAAGATTTTTTTTATTATATGGCCAACCGCATCCTACTTTGACACCACGAAGATTGTGCGAGTGCAAGGTTATATGAATATTATTATAAGAGAGATATGCGTAATTAGTTTAAATAAAATTATGAAAATATAGATTAAAGAAAAAAATATTTGAAATTAAAAAAAGATAAGAAATTCAATTGACCTTTGGCACTCCCTCAAAAAAGAGAGAGTATCTTATTATTAACATTTTTTTTTTTTTTGGAGATAAAAATCAAACTTTCCTCTTATTGTTATCATTTTGAAATTACTGACTAACTAATAAAATTTACAAGTCGAGTAATCAAAATCACAGGTTAACTATTAAAAGTCTGTAATTATGAGTTTATAAGCTTTATCACTTAATATGTAGCTTTTATAAATTTGTAGATTTTGTTATTCAGTCTGTGACATTCAATATAATTTTATTAAAAGAAAGGTAATGTGATGGTTTAAAAAAAATTCCAAAATGGATCTTAGAAAATATGAATAATTAATTGAAAAGAATTTAAAATTTAAAGGCATTAACATATATTGCTCTTTAGAAAGAAAAAAACTAAGAAATCAAATCACTTTATATTTAATTTAGGGATAAGTTATTGAATGTATACTTTAAATCACTAAGAAATCACTTTATCACTTTATATTTTATCTATACTTTTTTCTGTCTATTTTTGCCTTAACACTCTGCGATCATTAGATAATAAGAGGGAGAAATGATAAATATAGTTGAGATTCTAATCTAATGATGTTATAGAGTAATAAACAAAGATAGGTAAAAAAAAAAGGTAGAATAACTTATTTCTTTACTTTATTATAGGGTGTTTGGTAAATGATGAATTTTTTCGTGCCTGGGAATCATGATTATCAGAAATATGATGGGAAATTCATCTTTTCGATAAATATTACCAAAAAACTATTTGGTAAGTCAAAATATTACTGGAATTTTGTCCTACAAAAGTATAAAAAAAATTCAACACCTGAGATTCCAAGAATATCACTCATTTGGTGGTATTTTAGGAAAAAATTATACACAAAATAAAATTTCATGAAAATTAAATTCCTGCATTTTCTTTTCAGAAATCTTATATTAGACGTGAATAAATAAATTTGGATTTGGATCCTCTCACGTGAAAAAGTGATTATATGGTCATGTTATTTAATTACAATTACTTATTGAAAAATCATACATTTTTCTCTCTCTTATATCATCGTCAATGAATGGTTGTGATTAAATAACATAATCACATGACCACTTTTCTATATAAAAAAATTTAAATCTATTTAAATTACCACTATCACTTTTTTTTAAAAAAAATTATACTCTTATCTTACATAAGATTCATCTCTCATGTTATACTTACATAAAAAAATGTGCCTCATTTTTTTTCTTTTTTAAAAATTGGTGGGCTCCATTTAATTTATCTCATAATATAAGATAACTTTTTTCCATGAGAGAAGTAAAACTTTTTTTTAAATCTCAAAAACTTTCTCTTACCAAACATCCCTAAATCCATCAGGTAACATGAGAGATTTTGAATTTCATGCGGAGAGTTCAAAAATGTGAGGTTCTTCAAAAAAAATTGCAAAGACACAAATTTCGATGTGTGTGCGGGAGACAATTAAGATACATGATTGTTGCCGAAACTTAAGCATAAAGTCAGATACAGGCTCTGGTGGATCATACAAACACGTTAGCATTCCTTGCCTACTCTTTTTTTAAACTAATGAGCGTTTCAAAATATTTTCTTTCTTTTTTTTTTTTCTGTAAATTCCACTCATTTTTTTTGTGTAGTATAAAACAAAATTATTTTATACATCCCTCCTTTCATTTGTTTTAGGTTTGGGCAGGTAAACAATTCAAACCCTCGGATTGTGTAGCATTTAAATTAAGGACATTGGATCTTTAATGCAGTCTTTAATTTATGGGTTTTATGAGTATAATGTTGTAGGATATAAGAAAAGTTTCTTACTCTCATAATAAAGAAGAGAGAGAAAGTGAAATGATGAAAGAATATGTGGACCCCACCTCTTAATTATGTGTGTAGGAAAGTTTTATTAGGTTATGTAACATGATACTAATAATATCCTTAATTTATACTTTTTACCTTTATCGGGATATGTGTAAATTTTATTTTTTATTTTTTATTTTTATAACAATGAGGGCATAGCCCCAACAACGTGTAACTTTTCTATCTTTATCACATTAACACATGTGAAAAATAATATAAACTAAACATGTGAAAAAGACTTGATCCTTATCAGCTAAACCAACTTTCATTGCCTCCACGATAAAAGGAAAAGAAAAAGGTAAATGACAACAATTTTATATGAAATCGGCGTCTCCTATTATCATTACTGTGCATTTATATGATTCTAATTTAGTTTATTTCAACTTAATGTTTACACTTAAATTTCCAACAACATGCCAAGCATTGAAGGATAACGTTACTTGCAGGAGAATAACGCATTTGCACGGCCCCTTTATTAGACTAAGAAGGTACAAAAATGAGTTACATCAAACCACATTACTAAAAAATAATTGTTTTTAGACAGAAAAATTCCGTCAAAAATGGTTAAAATTCCGTCGAAAATAATATTTTCAACGAAATTTTCGACGGAAATGAAATCATCGAATATCTCTCCGTAGGTAGCCAATTTTTCGATGGAATTAAAGATCTATTTTCGACGGGTAATCAAAACTTTCGACGGAATATCTTTTTTGTCAAAAAATTTCGACGGAATTTATTTTCTGTTGAAATTTTTGACGGAAATTAGATTCCGTGGAAAATTCTGTCAATAATTTCAACGAAATTTTTTCCGTCGAAAATTTTTGTCAATAATAAAAACATTTCTAGTAGTACTATGGAATCGCAACATTAATCAAAGTCCATGACATATTATGAATCACGTGGAGCAAGGCTTCAGCGTCTTTCATTCGTCATGTTCATGGCTATCGTTTGAAAACTTTAATCAAATCGAGATCATGTCTGAATGTATTTAACACAAACATAGTAATAAAATCTTCACGTGGATCTCATTCAAGTGTCGGTTTGATATGCTTTCCATCAAAAGCGATTTCATTGAAGTGTCGGTTCTATATGGTTCGGAGCAAGACCTTAAATGCTATCAAAACTCTTATTTAGCCTGGTTTAATTACAGGTACTAAAATGTACAATTTTAACTCATAACGAGTAGTTTAAATAGTAAACAAGTTATTTACCAAAACAAAAACAAAAATAGTAAACAAGTTTAATTTCAATCACTAAGAAGTCCTACAATGTCCAGATTTAAGTTTGCAATAAGCATTTATGGACAGGAGCAAAAATTTTAATGAAAATTCTGGAGGACAAATGAGTACACTACCCTTAATAAAGTTTTAATATCCGTTATATTTTAAAATATTAATTATTTTAGAGAGAAATTTATTTCATTTTATTTGTCACTTTAAAAAATAAAGAAAATATTAATTGTTTTTAACTTTGTTCTTGATTATCGATATTTTTATTAATTGAAATAAAAAGGTAATTTAATTAAATGTTATCATATTTTTTAAAATTGAGAATATTTATAATTTTATTAATTTTTCTGAAAATGCTTTAAAACTATTGATATTTTAAAATGAAAATAGTAAGATATAATGCATAAGTAGTTGATGATGAAAAAAGTTTTCTATTGATAAGGAGCTAGACCTTTCTCGAAAATCTGGTTTAGTATATTTTTTATAGAGTTACTCGAAAATCTGTTTTTTTTTATAGAGTTATTGTGATATCAAGTAGATACATATTATTTTATGTCGTAATTTTTAAATATAATAATGATATTAAAATTCAAACCTATAACTTCATATAAATTATTCGAATGATTGCAGCAGTGCAATTTACATGGAATTAATATTTGGGAAAAATGTTTATCCTTTTAAATGACACAACTTATATCATTTTACTCTCACAAAGAAGTGAGACCCACACCTTTAATTTTTTTGTCAACTCTCTCTCCTCCTTTATCTATCTCTTTCTCTCTCTTAAAATGACACAACTTTACATCCTTTAAAATGACACACACTTTACCCTTATTATTTATATGAACTAAAAAGTTGGATCGATTGAATATTGGGCTGTCAAAGTGAAGAAGGACGTAAAGCTATTTTGTGAAACTGAAAGACTCATTCTCAATAACTAAAGTATCTGATACACAATACAAGCTATATACAATAAGCTGATATGGAAAATTGGCAGCAAGCTATTAGGCCAAACAGAAAATAAAGAAACACGACCGAAAGAATTAACGGAAAGCTAACAGCTATGTTAACAACTATATAACAGACTATAACAGATTAAATTTCACATAAATATTAACTAACAGAAGTTAAGACTAACAGAAGAACTTGATGCTGTAATAGCCCCCCTCAAGTTGGGAGGGATGCATCAAGCAAACCTAACTTGGAAATCACTTCCTGAAAAGGAGCATGAT